TCCATCCCACCTGGAAAAACTCAATTTTCTGTCTTCCCTTTAAATCATTCAAATCACAGCTTCCTAAGGAGGTATTTGCCTTGGCAATTTCTATTTTCTACCTGTAGATTAACTATCATTCTTTATCTAACCAAATGTTTATCTTTACACAAACTATGACTTGGGAAATGAAAGATGAATTAACCCATCTTTGCCTCCTCAGGGGAAGTGGTACAGAGTAGAAGCTCCTGTAATACAGGAGCCTTACTTTCTCTTGGTTCCTAGTGTGGTACTGTCAAATCTCTTAGCCTTTCAGTAACTGTCATTTGGGACTTCTTACTGGCAATTAGAGACTCATAGGTCAGCTGAAAAGCAGTAGTGTCTAGGTACATAGCTATGGGTCCAGGCTTCTTCCAATTGCTTTCCGTGAGAAATCCTATTTGGAACTCACAAATGACTCCTCTGCTTTTAAAAAGAAAAGAAGCTGTCTCCTAGAATTATGAGACATCTCCTGAATTATGAGACATTTCCTAGGGCAATACAATTGTGGATTCTGACACAGAGTATTGCAACTTAAAAATGAATTCTTATTCTTAATAATATTTTCAAAAATATGATTATGAAATTATATTTGATGTGTATATTTTTAAAGTTAAATATAACAGTAGGTGAATTTAAGACTTCAGATACACAGACTAGTAACATACCTTTTGAAAATAATTTATAGGCTCTGCGCCTGTGGCTCAACTGGCTAAGGCGCCAGCCACGTACACCTAAGGTGGCGGGTTCTAATCCCCAGCCCGGACCCGCCAAACAACTATGACGGCTGCAACCGAAAAAAAAATAGCCGGGCGTTGTGGCGGGCGCCTGTGGTCCCAGCTACTTGGGAGGCAGAGGCAGAAGACTCGCTTGAGCCCAGGAGTTGGAGGTTGCTGTGAGCTGTAATGCCATGGCACTCTACCCAGGGGGACAGCTTGAGGCTCTGTCTCAAAAAAAAAAAAAAAATAATAATAATTTATAATATGCTATAGAATTTTATCACTTAAAAGGCTTTTGAAATATAGAATTTCAAATTTTTTAAATTTCTGAATTTATACACACATACATAGTCATACATATTTCTACTGATACAGTAATTCCATAGCCATTTTATTTCGTGAAAAGAAGTTTAGAGAAGTTTAGGGATATTTTCTAAATGCTCTTTTAACTTTATGGCCTCTACTACTTTCTTAAAATTCTGGCTCTAAGCTTAACTCACACCTACATTTTGAGTTCAAGTAACAGATGAGATGTCAGCTACAAATGGAAAAAAATGGTAATTTTGAGAGACGTTTTCTATCAAAACAGTCAGTTCAAGAAATGTTTGTTGAAAAACATCTTTCTGTACAGTACTTATCTGGATACATCTATTAATTCTGTGGAAGTTCACTGCAAAAATACATAATAGAAGAAGTCCTCAACATTTCTTTGTAGGGCATTTGTAGTTACAGTGTTCTATTTTCTGTACCAACGCCAAGGGTTAACTCAGGCATTTTAAGTCTAGAGCAAGATGGGTAGATCCCCTGTTCAGGATGGTAGTGGTGGTGGTGAAAGCAAGAGTAAGACCATTTTCCTATGTAAACTTGGTTTGTTACCTTTCATTGCCTAATTAAGGAGGGATACCTCCTGGGCATAGTTTGCATCGTCATAAGACGATAGCCTTAGGGTTCCACATATTTGGGAGATAGGAGAGAAGGGAGGTAAAAGGAGGAAGAAGGGGGAAAGAAGGAAAAACAGGAAAACAGTTACCCAAGTTACCGTTTTGCAAAGGGATCTGGGCACTGCACTACAAATTTGTATGTAATGAAAGTAACTGCTGTTGTTGATGTCTGATCAAATATCAAATCCAAATTAAAAGAGGTTTCAACCTTTAGTCTCCTTGGATCAGTCTCTTCTTCTCAATGTTTGGTTCATCTCACACAACATTCCTGCTTTAGCTTAAGATATCCCCATTCATTTTTCAGTCCACTCCTTCTGGGTGAGAGAAGAGGTAACAACAAAAAAGAGATGTACATACCCCCTGAGGCACTTTCTGTTGTCCCTCTTCTTAATTCTATGCACTGTGCTTGAATTTTTCAATTTCTTGGAGCATTTGTTGTGAGTCCTAAAGATCTACAGTGTAATTCATTCAGTGTCAGCCAGTGTCCTGTAGATACTACACACCGTGGCGGGAAGGGAAAAGGGCACTGCAGGGCAGTGGATGGAGGTGGGACCTGAGCTCTATCCCTGGAAAAATGTGGAATTTGGTGAAGCAGAAGAGAGTAGGAAGAATATGCTAAGACTGGTATAGCATGAATGGGGAGAAATTGGGCATATGGATGGCATGTCTGGGAGAATCATTTAGTATGGAGTAGAAGATGTAGAATGTATCCATGTACTATGAGAACCAGAGTCTAAAACTCCACAACAAGCCTCCATCAGCCTATAGGAGATGAAAACCTCCTATTTACAATGAAATACACATTTTAAAAGAAGAAATAAATGGAAGCAGCCTGGTTTTGCTAGAGGTGGAGAGAAAGCTACAACAGTAAAAGCAGATCTCAAATGTTAATCACCTGTGGCATAGCAGTTAACTTAGAATAATATTGAAATGTTTTTGCATCTGACATTCTCTACAAACCTGTCTCCTTTTATGTGTATGCATGTCAGTATATAAATTGCTGAATCCATGTCAGTTGTAAAGTAATGGCACTGAGGGCATCATAAATTACCGTGGTGATCCTCAGGAGAAGACACTGTCGTATCTGAATGAGTGTTTCACTTCCAGAGTAATGTATGCCTTCATCTGGCCCAGCAGTCAGCATATTGCCCTGTGTTGATGGATATTGTCAGCTGGAAGCTACACTACATTTCACTTCACAATAAACATGGCTGTCAAACCCATATAAAGTGAAATCAATTTATCCTGTATGGTCAGTGCATTTTAAATGAAATTAATGTACTGTGGGTATGGTGGCAAAAAGGTAGCATATTAGTTATGCATCTTGGGATCTGAGACTTTTCATGTAAGAGATCATTCTGTCTAGGACGGCTGAAAGAAGGGCTGTTTGTAAAATATGTTATTTTTGCATGATCTTATCTGCCTTCCTTTGTGCTGAGAAAAACATTCACAATACCGGCCATTTCTACTCTTTTGTCCTGTCTTTTCTTTGCAGGAAATGATGACCATATTTTCTAAATAATAGTGAACTTTAATGTTCTAATTTATTACTGGGTTTGACACAAACAAATAACTACTTAACCAAGGTATCTAGAAATATAGTGGAAAGGCCAGTGATTGATTGGGTCATGCATTCCTGTATAATAACTTCACTGAACTGAAAGGATTTACTTTTTCCAGAAAATAGAAATGTTGGTTTTAATGTATAATTTGATTTCAAACGTTTGGGGGTAGGTTTTCCTGCTTATGCCGTATAAGGTTTGGCTGAGACCTTCAGTCCACCTACTTTGGATTTCATTATAGAAGTTCTCAATCTTTAGGGTACTCAGTAGTTGCCACGTTGTATACCTCAGTGTGTCAACCTGGTAGGGTGCATGAAAACAAGCAGGAGCTATGTTAATTCATTCACTCATTGAGTCAGTCATTAATTTAAAGCATTTTGCCATGATAGTTGAAATTCAAAGTGCCAAGCCCTTCACTGGATTCTAGGAATATAGCAGTGAATGAGACCCAGCCCCTGTCCTATCTTTAAGGAGCTTGCATTCTAATATGTTACTAGAGTCAGCTCTTTGGAAATTATAAAACATGAGGAATTTAGATGGCTATTGTCAGCTGGAAGCTACACTACATTACAATACAAACTGAAGCTACACCTACAGTTTCATAGGTGTTGAAGAACTACCCTTAAACAACAGAAAGATAGATCAGACCCTTGAAATAAATACCTCTTAGTCTACTACTTTTTCATTTGAGTTGAAAACAAAATTACTTTTACGTAATGAGCATTTATTATCTATTAAGTGGGAAATTATTAAGAGACAAGAATGAATACAACATAATCACTAACTTCAGGGATCTCATATTCCTGGGGATGGAGTAAAAAGATCAGAGGGAGAAAAACAAACATTACTTTGGGGCATGCAGCCTGAAAGCAAGAGGAATGAGTGTGGCCTGGGGACATCATTGAGAATGATGTTCCTTTAGTTTGAATTACCCTTCCCATCTGTCTTTGCCCCCTTACCCCCCTCACCTACTGATTCCTATTCATCCTTCAAGACTCAGCTTAGACATCACATCTTCTAGGAGGCCTTAGCTGATCATCCCCTCTGGAGCTCTCTTGGTGACCTGTTAACTTCAATATTGTAGCACATACTACACTCTTTGTTATAATTATCTATCTCCCCCGCCTTCAACTGTGAGCTTCTTAAAAGCAAAAGCTGTTTTATTTACCTTTGCATCCTTATCCTGGCATAAAGCCCAGCTCACAGCAATTGCTCAATTAATACTTTTCATTAAATTAATTAACTCATTTATGAAACTCATTTTTGAGTAAGACCTGGAAGATGAGTGAGATTCAGCATGAAGGTGTAGAAGGGTCTTTCAGGCAGTGAGAAGAAGGTCAAGGCACAATATCGTGACAGAATTCTATTTAAGGGAAACATATAGTTTGAGGTGGCTGTGGTTTTTGGCAACTAAGTCTAAAATGGCAGGTAACAGCCTGCTTTTGAAGGAAGGAATCACAGCAGGAAAAGTTTAGCATAAAGAAATGTCATGCTGGTCATTGCTTTATCATCACCTACCATTGATTGTCGTAAATGCAGTGGGTGTATAAAAACACAAAATTAACTCTGCCGAGTGTGTCTTTGAGGACTACATTAGAAGGGCCTGTAGAATCATCATTCCAAACTGTCTTCTGCTTCCAAGAGGTCCCTTGGAATAGAAGGACCTAGGGAAAACAGCTGAACCTGGCGGGAAGCTGTGTTACATTATCCACATAATAATGCTTTGCACTCATCTTGTTCTTCCTGCCCCGACATTACAGGAAGTAAAGCAATGAATGGCTCTGCAGCTAAACTACAGCAGTATTATTGTTGGCCAACAGGAGGTGCCACGGTGGCTGAAGCACGAGTCTACAGGGATGCCCGCGGCCGTGCCAGCAGCGAGCCACACATCAAGCGACCAATGAATGCATTCATGGTTTGGGCGAAGGATGAGAGGAGGAAAATCCTTCAGGCCTTCCCTGACATGCATAACTCCAACATTAGCAAAATCTTAGGTGAGTGCAGCCGCACAGCTGGAGCTGATCTTTCTGTCCCATGAGTGGGAAACAGGGGCGTAATGAGGCTCCTAAGGGAGACTGTGGTTGGCAGAAATTAGGTGAAGGTCAGCCAGCTGCTGCAAGAGCCTTTGTCATCCTCTCTGCCTGCCCCACTCCACAATGTGGCATATAGAATGAGGAGTTCTTACATCCACCAGGTGCCAGGACAGGACTGGCTAACAAGTTATTTTAGAGACAAAACTATTTATACTATGTGCTAATACCATGAGTTTAGCCACTCTTGAGAGGTCACTGCTAAACAGGAATCAGGGAGAAAAGCTTTATCTCCTTATATTATTCAGTCTTCTTAAATTCATAAATTGCTACGAAGCCTTGGAAACACTCATGGACCCTGCAGTTTTCTGCTTTAGTATTCCTGGGTTCCTATGTCCCACTGAAAGAATTCCTCAAAGACGAAAAATGAACCCCCAAATGGTGTGAAATTCGTAGAGTATAGAACAGTGATTCTAAAGATAACTTTAAAACTTGTAAAATAAATCTACATTTATTTTAATAAGACATGACTAGTTCAAATTTCATAGCAGTGAGTCGAGCGCCCAGACCACAGGGCAGAGGCCCATTTTGTGGTAAATTGCCCAGTGACTCTCCCGTTTCTCAGGATTAAACTCAAGCCTTGTTCTATTATTTTAAAGCTCGACTGGTGTAGATTATACAGTTTGGAATTATTGTGCTCAACATATTGAACATATTTTCTTCAACATGCGGCATTACAGTCAACATGTTTCCTCTTTAGCAAGAAAAAACACAGAAGGCACTGTTCTATTTAAGCTGTCATGATGTGACAAAATCTCAGAGGAAGCCGTTTAAGAAGCTAAAAACATTAGAGACTTAAACTGTGGTTTTAATTTTTTAAATGTTTTGTTCAAAAGCAATAAATATTTAACCTGAGTAAATATCAGTGATCTGGACACACACAAATACACATGTTCTGTCACTGTATAAATAATTTAACTTGATTCGGAGACATTTTGAGGCAGTGACCTCTAAGAAAATGTAAAACATACATGAGAACAAATGTGATGAAATGTTAAAATACAAGTTTTTCTTTTCTTTTTTTCCTTTTGACTTGCTAAGGTGGATACTTATTAACAATTTCAAGGTGGATACTTACTACAATTAAGTGTGATTTTAGTTTTAGAGCTTCGGAGATATGAATACAGGTGTTGTTCCTTTAAATTTAAGTACATTTCAAACCAAAATGTTCTAATGCACATATGCTTTTTTTTTCTAATGAAAGATATTCTAACAAAAATTTGGCCTTACAGTCGGATATCTAACTTTGAGATTTTCATATACTTTTTTTCTGCCATTTTATTAGCAATATGAGTAAGCTTTCAGATGGGCACAGAACCCCTCTGTTTCCATTTTGGCTGCTATAGGGAAGCTGTATTATTGGTGTGCATTCTGTGAAAAAAATTATTAGGAGTATAGTAAGTATATTCATTAAAATGTAAACTTTTAAGCACAAGCATTTCAAGAGTACCAAGACTGTTCTGTTAACTGGAGACTTTGAGCTGCTGGGAGTCAGCAGGACACAGAGAAGCCTATCTCCATAGACCTTTACACAAATTTTGCACCACAATTAAGAAAGAACAGGGATGGATGTGCTATTAAGGCAGACCAGGATATAGCTGGCTTCAGAGAATATTTGTACAACTTTTCCATTTGTTTATGTATGAAAAATCTCCACGGAAGAATCGTTAACGTCCCGTCTGCACAGCTGTTACCGCTTTATTCACCAGCGAGACACAAAAATGCAATTTGATCCACGTAAAAAAACACATCCCTTCTTCATCAAGTGTTTAGATAATTCTTTATAAACAATATTAGTGAAGTGAATGCTTTTCCTTCTTCCTGTATAAACCTTATTAAAAATTTTTGTGCTTTCATCGGTACAGCTTTGAATGAGCGAGCGTTTATCGTACCTGAAAATGGTGTATATAATTCTAGCCTGTGCCTTCCAGTTCTAAAGCTACAACTTCTTAAGGAGAGTTTAAGTTTTTTAATTCTACTAAATTAATTGCACAGTAGGTCTTTGTATAGGAAAGGATATCCACATCTGCTGACATCTTATTAAAGGGTAGCTTCACTACACATGGAGTGAAGGGGATGTGGGAGATGTTTGAATTTCTGGGACCAAGGAAGCTTTCCTGAGAATCATGTCATACTCAAAGGTATGCTTAGGGAGTTTAGGCTTTTAACCCTCTGGAGAGAGAGAGGCAGGTAGATGGAGAAAAACCCTAGTGTAGGATATGACCTTGAAACAGCAAAGACACATTTTAAAACAATGTAGTAGCATAAGTCTTACATTATTGAGATAATACAATAAATGTGTCATATGCAAAATCATTCTTTGCACTATAGTCTAAAAGATGAGTTGAGAGGGCCAGTGGTACGTGTAATAGGAACTACTCACAGTACAGGGGAGTGGAGTGCGGTGGGAAGGTGTATCTGGTTGGGTTTGCCTGGAATATGTTACTTGGCCACTCTGCTACTTAAGGATATGTTTATGTATAGGATCTCGCTGGAAATCCATGTCCAACCAGGAGAAGCAACCTTATTATGAAGAGCAGGCCCGGCTAAGCAAGATCCACTTAGAGAAGTACCCAAACTATAAATACAAACCCCGACCGAAACGCACCTGCATCGTTGATGGCAAAAAGCTCCGGATTGGGGAGTATAAGCAACTGATGAGGTCTCGGAGGCAGGAGATGAGGCAGTTCTTTACTGTGGGGTGAGTATTTCTGAATTTAGCCGCTGGAGCTTTTCTTTCCCAATGAGAAACTGCAGGATAGCTACTGGCAGTGTTTTTGGGAAAGAGATCAGGAGGGCCAGTGACCTACTGAAGGGGCTTGGCTGTGAGTCTTTGCTGTGTCCTAAGGAGCCTTGCAGCATGGCTCCTGCAGCAACTCACTCCCAGCGGATCACTTCTGTCATTGTCTCCCCACCAATTTAAGATGCTCAGTGCCCACACACAAAGTTTCTGGTAGTTTATTTAAGCAGACACACAGGGAGAAAAAAAAAAATAAAAACTAACCTTAAGAAATCCCCAGAAGCTTTCCAGCTTCTCTGGGTGGTGCTTCTGACTCTAATCACAATAGTCTGCTTTTGTTGTGGGATCGACCACAAGATAATTGGCCTTGACATTGGTTATAGGACCTCATTTTTGGCATAAGATCCAGAACTCCTGTTGCAGTAAATTATTCTGTGGTAGAAGCAGTAACAATGTAGATTTTCTTGCTCAAATCAGAAAGTAGACATGTTTTTGATATCTTCAAGTCTGATTTCATGTCATTTTGTTTAAAAATTAGGTAATAGATTTCTGGTATAAATTTCGACTTGGCTGACTAGCTGTCTGCATTCAAAAGAGGCCCCTCCTAACCACAGTAGTCAGGATAAGTGGGGGTGCAGATGCCTGTAGATTCCAGCATTACCCAGACCTAGAAGCACAGAGGGGTGGCAGACCAGAGGGCCATTCTGGAGGCACTAGTCTGAAGCAGCTGGAATCAGATTAGGGAAACACTTGGGGAAAGGCCCCAGAGAGGGAAAGAGAAAGACAGAGAGAAAGGGAGTAAGCAGAAAGAAGCTGCATTCACCATGAACTTGAAGGAGAATTGAAGAAACAAAGATAGCCTCACTTATAGGTGAAAAAGAGGCATCTTAAAGGAGGGGTCAAGAGCTATTTATTTTTAAGAACACTCAAACGGTAACCCTATGGAAGAAAATGTTGGTTTCAGAAGCTTGTGTTAAAAAGGATAAAATTAATTTGGAATAGTAAATAGAATACAAAAAGTTGATTAAAGTAATCTAGGTCTTGAATCTGTGCAATACACTACACGTGCTCTAGGGAGGAGGCTGAGCCTGGGAGTTAGACTACTCTGGTTCAAATGCTACTCACTGTGCCAAGTACCTTTCTAGAGTGCTTAGGACAATATCAGTAAAGGAAAACTCTGTCCTCATCATTACTGTTTAATATGTATTTACTATCATGAGACAACCATATTTGATATCACACTAGATAATCAGTGGATTTCTTTATGCTGTGGCAGAACTTTTTAGAGGTAAGAGAGGCTTAAGCCACTTTATTATTTGAAGATCCTAATTAATAAATGAAGATTTGCCAAAGTAGGTTTATCAAATTCCTCTGTGTTATAAATATTTGCATTTTTTCAAATTAATTTTTATAGTACCAAAAAGTAGAATATTTTTAATTGGGCCATTCACATGATAAATACAGGATTATAAAAATACCAATTCATAGTACACTGTAGGTAATATAATCATAGGCAACAAAATACAAATTTAAAACTGCACAGTAAATATCCCCTTTTAATCCCATAAGTGTATATCTAAGATTGTGTAAAATTTCTTTTGAACAGAAAATCAAAACTTTGAGAGCTTTTGTAATTCCTGCCCTTCTCCTCAGTCATGTCATCTGTGTATTTAGAGGACATAGTAAGTCGCTGTCACAACAGTCTGGAAGGCTATTAGTTTAGTTCCCTGATTCTTATTTGAGAATCTGAGTTGTGGTAATAATATTTAATTTAGTTCTCTTTACTAAAGGGTACATTAAAACAGCTCTAGATCAAAATACCTCAACATGTTGGTATGTGTTGCATATGAAATGAAAAACCAAACTTCACAGCCACCATTTCTTTTTCTTTTTTTTTTTTTTGAGACAAGAGCCTCAAGCTGTCCCCCTGGGTAGAGTGCTGTGGCATCACAGCTCACAGCAACCTCCAACTCTTGGGCTCAAGCGAGTCTCCTGCCTCAGCCTCCCAAGTAGCTGGGACCACAGGCACCCGCCACAACACCTGGCTATTTTTGGTTGCAGCCGTCATTGTTGTTTGGTGGGCCCGGGCTGGATTCAAACCTGCCACCTTGGGTGTATGTGGCTGGCGCCTTGAGCCACAGGCGCCGAGCCGCCACCATTTCTTTAGTGTCTACTGTGCACTAGGTGTTTTAGGTAAATAAATCACGTAATTCTCTAAATAAAATAAAGAAATTGAGGTTTATGGAGGTCCTATGGCTGCAAAAAGGTGAGAAAGAGTAAAGATTGAAATCTAGGTCTGGCCCCTGCCATACCAAATGACTAAGGAAGTGTCCTTACCACCTTGCTCACATGTGCCCCATAGCTCTATCCTAGCACAGTCGTGAGTCTGATTGGGCCACTGGAGAAAGAATTCTTAGGACTTGGAGAAAATGAAGGGTTTGGTTGTGGTATATGGTGCATAAAAGGAGCTTTGAAATTTAGAGACTAAGGATTCTGTCCTGACGGTGTAGGAGAGTCCTCTGTGGAAGGATCACTCTAGACCAGTGGTTCTCAACCTTCCTAATGCCATGGCTCTTTAATACAGTTCCTGTGGATCGCAACCCACACATTACGTTGAGAACCGCTGCTCTACACTGTGGAATAGGCTAACTAAAGTGCAGGCAGCGACCAGAATGTCTGATTTTTTAATCTTCCATGCTGAGCATTTTCCTCACTCCAGCTTTGCTACATAAAACCAAGTATTATGTGTGCTTAAGGAATGGTATTCTCTTTTAAGGAGTGGTATCTGATAGATTATTAACTCCCTGAGGTTTGTCTTTGGAAATTGATCTTTATTAGATGTGAGTTTGTTACAAGAGGAGTAGAGAGAAAAACAAACAAACAAAATTCAAAGATTGCTATTGACTTCTTCATGGAATGGGGGTGAGATCAATTTTTATAGCTGATTTTGAAAAGACATGCATAACTTTCAAACCAATAAAACTGCATGCGGTGTTCCACGTTTTCCTGCATTTTACTGACTACACAATTGTGGCTGATGAGTTAGATTTTTTACTGAGCTATTATGAAATGAGTCTATCAATAATATGGAATGTAGTAAGGTCTGCTCTTACCTTGGATTTAACCCCTTTAATTCACAGAAAAAGCATCAGAATTTTGTAATAATCCTGATAAATACTATTAATGTAGAAATAATACTCACTAGTAAACATAATAGTTACCATGACGTCTTAGCTAAGTAACTATGACCAAATATACTTCCATTTCTTTGAAACTTAGTTGGTAATTTATCTGTGTACTAATGGAAAATCATATAGGTATATTTATACCTCCATGTTTGTGGGCTCTGCATCTGCAGATTCAACCAACTGTGGATTGAAAACATTAAAAAAAAAATTCCAGAGAATGTTACATTGTTGCTGATATGTTATGGTTGGGCCTATAATGACTGCATCTATACTGAACATGTACAGAACCAGTATTTCCTAAACAATACAGTTTAGTAACTCTTTACATAGCATTCACATTGTGTTGTATACTACAGATAAGCTAGCAATGATTCAGAGTATTCAGGAATATGTGTGTAGATTATATGCAAATACTACAACATTTTATATTAGAGACTTGAGCATTCTTGGATTTTGGTATCCATGGGGGAGGGGAGGGTTCCTGGAACCAATCCCCTATGGTTATTGAGGGATGTCTACTATAAAATATTAAATTTGGGACTTTTTTTTTAGCAATGATAATAAAAATTATTGAATACTTACTATAAACTATGTACTATGCTGAATGAATTATACAGATTATTATAAATGCAACAAATTTATAAGACATTGTCATTCCCACCATAGGATTGAATAACTCAGTGTTCAGAGATGTTAAATGATTTGTCCAAGGCTACACAGCTAATAAATGGCAGAGCTGCAATGTAAACCAGGCCTATGTGAATGTGAAACACATGTCCTCCTTACCATTATACATACCTCTCAATTAAGGCCTACAAATTGTTCAGAGGCTGTATAGTGTAGTGGTTAAGAGCAGCAATTCTGGAGCCAAGCTGTTTTGATTCAATTACTAAATTTTTTTCTTTTAGAAGAAATAAATATGTACATAAAAATATAATTCATAGCAATCCTTATTCCTTTGAATTCTCCACTTGCCTTTGGGAAACTTATTTAAATTCTCTGTACCTCAGTTTCCTCATATGTAGAAGGATAATGATAATATTGACAACATAGAACCCTTCTGAAGGTTGAAGTTCTTAGAACAGTGTCTTGTACATGGTAAGTTCTAAATTCGTAAATCTTAGTATTCTAGAAAAAAATTGTGTGCCAATTCTTTTAGTACAATATTTTATAATATAAATATTATATAATAGTATAATGTTTTATATTATACTAAGAGTATAATATAGCATAGTTTATTTTATGTTATATTAAAAGAATTATTTTCTAATTCTTTATGCTATAAGATGTGAGTTGAACATTTGCCACTGTTATCTTAATGGTAAAGAGGTTGAATCAACCCTATAAGATACTTATAAATAAAATTAGATTAGCATACCATAGCCATACTGTTTTTCAGTATTGTCCTCCTGTAACAAAGCTGGATCAGCACCTCTGAATCCTTCCTGCAATATTGACTATGGAGGTAGGTGCGTAAGGTATAGGCTTATCTCCTAATGAAACAAACTTTGTTGCCTTTATTTGTAGACTTTGTAAAGATCTGAAGGGTCAGCAAACAATGGGGCTTCCTCAACATAAATCTGTAGTTGCTTTGCATTTGGCAAAGCTTGACTACACTACAGAAATAGTTTTGTAATTTGGAAACCATGCAGCAATGCTGGGCTCTGTCAGAGCCAGCTCAACTCCTTTACTTAGACTGGAGGGAAGGTTCTTAGCCACCTCTGTTCATATCTGTGCTGCATGTACACACTTTCACAAACATCTACAACTTTT